TTCTATCTCCTGTTTCTGTTACTGTTTCTGTTACTGTTTCTATCTCCTGTTTCTGTTACTGTTTCTATCTCCTGTTTCTGTGTTTGCATTCACTTAAAGGGTCAGTTCACCTGCAGGTTAGGCCCTCACTCGAGTTGCCTCTAACAATAAGTTTATTGTTATAAATTCATCTACTGGTTATTTTCTCCATTATTCATTTGGCAGTAAATAACAAAAAGATGAGTAGAGTTGTTTCCGATACCTCGACTGCCTGTTCCAAAACTAAATATAACACTCTTGACAGGGATCTTTTTAGATAAGATATATTTAAGGATATATTTTATATTTTATGTAGCATAACATTTATATGTAAAAATGACATTTTCCTAAAACACTTCAAATTATTTTATTATTGTTATCAGCCAACATAAAGGCTGTCTTTTCACAATGTCCCTGTTATTCTAGGAACAGATATCTTACAACCAGAGCTCTCTGCACGACGACGTACATATGTATGATACGTAGAAATGTAGTTTAGTGATTTAGGTGAGCAACCCTTTAGGAGTCCTCCAACATCCCGTTTCTTCACTGTGGAAACAGAGGAGAGGCCTCAGATGACTCTACAGTATTCTGTTAATGAAAAATGTATTTTTATCCTTTTCACTCTGCAGACATGTCGGACGTAGTTCCTCCAGAAGTGCGACCCAAACCGGCGGTACCTGCCAAACCGCCAAACGTGGGGGCTCCTTCCCCCTCCAGCCCCTTCCCGCCCCAGGGCCCGGGCATTGGAGGAGGCGGCGGTGTTTCTGCTCTCCCTCCGAGTGCCATCCCAGTGCCCATCGGGAGTCACGTCCCAGTGCACATTAGCAGTCACGGCGGGAGTCACGGCGGGAGTCACGGTGGGAGTCACGGTGGGAGTCACAATGGAGGTCACGCTCATAGCGGCTCCCACAGCTCCGGCGGTGGATCCACTTTGCTGGGGTACATTGGTATTGACACCATCATTGAGCAGATGAGGAAGAAGACCATGAAGACAGGCTTTGACTTTAATATCATGGTTGTGGGTAAGTGACAGAAGTAGGTTAAAGATGGATGTTAGTGTAAAGCTGCGAAGAGGAAACATCTTCTATTAGTAATTCATTTTTCAGTGTTCTTTTATATCTGGACACTTTCTGCCGTTCATTCTATTATTTTACCACCTCTTTGGCCATGTTCTGACTTTCCCCCTCCCCCTTGTGTTAGGTCACAGCGGCCTCGGAAAGTCAACTCTGGTGAACACATTATTCAAGTCCCAAGTCAGCAGGAGGAGCGCCGGGTGGGCCCGTGATGAGAAGATCCCTAAAACTATCGAGATCAAAGCAGTGTCTCATGGTGAGAACAGGGAGAGAGCTGCTGTTTCTGTCTTTAGAGCCAGACATTTATAGCAGCATTTAATTTGACAGAGAAAATTAACGATCTTTGACCGTGTTCTTAAAAGTAGCCTACTTACAGTACATCAGTGCTCCCTGGTAGCTGCCAAGTGAGTTTTCCATTTATTTAAGTTGAGCTATGAATGTATGAGCCAACTTCTGCAGGTACTTTGTTTGAGAGGTTGTGATTACTTGTTTACTGAAGCTGTCCAGTTACTGTTATACCAGGTGGTTTTCTTTCAAAATGACTACTAAAATACATCGCTCTTGTATCATTGTGCTATTTATCATAATCTCGTCTGACTTGGATGTATTTGGGGTAGTTAGCTCTACCAGCGAAGTAGGAGGAAGGTTATGCATTCATCTTTGTTGGCAAAATATCTAACAATGGATACATGGATTAGTCTGAAGTTTGAAATATATTTATTTAAGGAGGGACACTGCGCATTAATGAATATAAGCAGTTGAGTCCATCATGTAAATGTGCCAGATTTAGCCATGCAGGCTAATTAAAAGTCAGCATCTAAGAAAGCATTAAAAGATACAAGAGCACAGACAAATAGTAGAACAATGATATAACCATATGGGAACAGACAGAATCACACAATCACAGAGCACATACGCACAGACAGTTGACAATGACGGAAACGCTGCTCCAGATTATGACAGCATATTTAATTGTCCAGTACTGTTACTGGACAATTAAATATCCCTTCATAACAGATCGATTTCAAGGATCAGCTGACTACATTTTGGTCTTGGTCTGGGACTTCTGCTATTGCACAATTTTCTCATGCAGTGTCAGCGTGCCAATGTAAGTACAAACAGACTGACTGGATTTCCAGGCAAAGTTTACTGTCTCCGTGGCACAAAGCAGGGTTTGTTAAAAGGCAATGTGTCAATGTAGGGGTGCAAAGGGTCCTGAAAACAGAGTAACGGGTCACAACAGGCTTCAGTAGCAGGAGCAGGTAACAAGAAGGTTGGATCACTAAAGGTGCAGTCACAATAATATATTATAATTTATATATATATTTATTTATTTTTTTCACTTATGTCCTCCATCACTTACATCTGAAGCATGTTTCAATGTATGTATCTTTTATAATCATTAACAGCTGCTTTATAATGCCTTGTGCACAGTTATCTGTGTTGGAGTTACTAATGAATGGCTTGAACTACACTCTCTCCTACATCTATGACTCTCTATGACTTCAACTCTGGACTACGCTCATCGCACAAATCCGGTTTTTATCACATCGGCTAGTCAAGTTGTTCTTGGACCTACAGATTCCCAGTGACAGCTTTTATTTGACGAAGCCTTTATCAATCCTGAGAAGTCAACAGAGAACAGTGTTTCTCTGTCACGCGGGGCCCTTTTGGAACAACTTGTTGATCGGCAGCCAGAGAATATTTGTTCACTACACATACTGTGGGTGTAACACTTCATCTCTGCTTGGTAGAACAACAAAGTTAGACAGTTGCATGATGGTAGGTGAACTTAATCTGAAGGCTATAATTCAAAACGGCAGACAATCTCCAGAACGGAGAGCCGTGTTTCCATGGTTACAGTGAGTTGACCCTGCCGACAGCTCAACACATGAGGTAAACATGGCTCAAATTTGTTTGTTTGCTTGATGTGACATTCTTCCACAGCACCACCAGGCTTTCGCTGGAATAAACAGAATGTGCAGAACATGGTTTTGTTTAAAAAGAGTCTGAATTGGCTGGAATACAGAGCAAATTGTTCCTATTTAAAGCCACAATATGTACTTTTGGAACACGTCTGACCTTTGAAGCCCCCTCCCCCAGTGTGAAGTATCAAATCAGCTACTGTGGCAAGACGGCTCTGCATGCTGTTTTATGAAATGGACTCGCCACACTGTGGGACTGTAAAAACTGACAGACCTGGAGATTTTATCACACCAGGAAAAACAGTGGTGACACGTCAAATCTGTTGGACAGAAGCCTCAGTGTTTGTTTTGCTAATGATTATGGCACAAATCGCCTGCGGGGTGACAGTGAACTGACATTATCATGCCTATCACATGCTGTGGGAGACAACAGGGCACATCACACAGATGTTAAAAATATCTCCAATCATTCATTCTTTGGTTCTGCCTGTGAACGACATAAACCTTTAAGTCTATAAGTCTGAATATTCAGATATCAAATGTACATCAAATACAGGTCAGTTGTGTTATCACCTACAGAACAGC